TGTCTCAACACCACAGCTGACAGCTGGGACTAGGAGGGCCTGGCTGCAGCAGCCGGATCCCACTTGTGAGACCCCCCACTGCCCAGCCTCCCCCCATCTCTTTTTGGCACAGACAGGTGGGTTCCAGGTTCCAGAACCTCCTTACAGGCAGGGAATTTGGGGACAGTCTCCCAGTCCCTGCTGCTGGCTCCTACCTCTGCTTCCCGGGTGCCTGGAGTACTGCCCAAACCAAACTGGGCTCAGGTCCCAGGAAAGTGGAGGCCTTGTCAAGGCCTGAGCTGGGGCAGGAGGACTTCCAGGTGGCTGCTGGTCCCTTAGCCAGGGACTCGTCTAGAGACCAGAGTCATAATATCCTTCTGGTTTGAAGAGCTGTTTAGAGGATACCTACCAGGAGCCAGGATCTAGGGGTCCTAGGGCAGCCAGCCCAGGGGGTGGAGGTGGGGTCAATAATCATCTATCCAAATAATAATTTAGTAATGATATATCTTAGGCAGTTATGTAGTAAGTGTTCATCAACTTTCCTCTTCACTTACGAGCTAAGGAAATGGAAACTCAGAGGTTGGAAGTGTCCAAAGCCACACAGCTGTGACACAAGAGCACAGAGCCCAAACCAGCTTATAGGTCAGTGTAAAGCTGTGGAGTCATGGGAACAGGGGAAGCTAAGCACCACTCCAGCACCAGCTGGCTGAAGGCCGTATGAACTCACTGGGTTCGCATTGCAATCTTGCAGTGATCTCTTGTGTTGCAGATGGACAAACTGAGGCACAGGGCACTGAACTCAAACTCGGAAGTTCCCTGGCAGGAAGCATGGGCCTGATGCTGAAGGCTTCAGTGAGTCTCAAAGAGGAAAAAGCAAAAACCTTGTTATGCATCCTGGAGGGGCGAAAGTGCTCGCTCTTGGCAGAGCTATCTGATGCGTGTGCATGTGTGCACTCGCCCTCCTAACCCAACCCTGAGCAGCAGGCAGCCCCCAGGACTCAGCAGGGCCCCCTTTCTTTTCTTCTAGGCACCTTTGGGCTGGAGAGGAGCAAGGTATAAAAGGGTTGCCAGCCGGAGGCCCCAAGGATTGTACAATAGCTGAGTGCATAATTCATACGTTGTCGGCAGAACATCAATGATGTGGGCCTTCCTTGGAGTTGTCTGGGGGTTAGAAGCCAGAGCAGGCTTCCCCTGCCAGCCTCTGGGGGAAGCAGAACCTATCAGTTCTTAAAGGAACAGGCTCCCCCGGAATCTGCTCACTCTGCACAGGCACTCTCCCGCCTGGGCTGCCGGGGCGCAGAGACAGGAGCAGCTTCCTGCAGGAGTCCGCCTGAGGCCCACCGCTGGCCCGCTAAATCAGGCGCGCTCTTAGCTCAGCATTGCACTCACAGCTACCCGTGCCCCCCGAGTCACAGCGTGTGAGGGGCTATCCTTGTATCCAGGAGTTTCTCAGCCTCAGCTCCGCGGGCATTTCAGGTTGAACAGTGCCATGCTTTCAAGGCCTGCTGTGCACTGTAGGATGCTCATTCCTGACCTCCACCCGCGGTGTCACCAGCACTCTCTCCTCCCTCCAAAAATCCTTACGGAAACCACTAAGCATCCCTTGAGTGTCAAAATCATCCTGAGGGAAGAACAGCTAGTATATATCCTTTCACGGGTAAAGAAACTCCAGCCAGGAAAGTTCCAGTGCTCAAGGTCATTCCACCAAAAAACTGCAGAGCTCAGAGTCAAGGTCCAGGGCCCACACAGCTGACCTTCCTACAGGGGTCCCAAGGAAGGCGCTGTGTGTTCCTCTGCAGTAATCACAGATTTATTTTGATAGATGTTTAGTGCACAAATTGGTAGTGGGGGAAAAGTCAATTTTGCCTGTTATTTCCGAGGATAAATCTAAAATGAAATGAAGACAGATCTGTCTCTATCTCTGTCTATCTCTCTCTCTCTCTGAAAAATAGTGCAAGGAACAAAAGGACACACCCAGTAAGACATCAACATGGAGACAGTTTGTTTAGGGCTGCACACATTTGCATAGAGAACTATGCGGAAAAGCAAAGAGATGAGAGGAACAATCTGCCCACACAGGCCGTCTCTCGGAGGGCAGAGGACCCCAGAAGTATTGGTGTGACTGCGCCCTTCTCTGTTCGCAGGTGTTTGTTTGATGATGATTCCCAAAGTACATGTAAACTAGGTCTACGTTTCATATCAAACATGTCACCTTCTACCATGACTAGAGAACTTTTCTCTTGTAGTGGATGCAAATCAAGACACTGAGACTCAAAAGCTAATTATTTTAAAAGCACAGGATGTGCTGGCCAGAACTGGAGCAAAAGGATAAGAAGCTGGCACAAATGAGGCTGAGGGGGCTGCACCCAGCAAGGTTCTCTCACCTCCCTAGCTAAGCCTATGCAGGCACCAAAGCTCTCTGGCCGCCTGTCACCCTCACGGTCGACCGAGGAGCCTCACATGCAGTAAATGACCCATAGATGCTTGCCAAGTTGAAAACTGAGCCCTGACCCGGACCCTTCCACTCACAGCTCTATGAACTTGAGCAACAGCGAATCAGTACTTTGAGGGCATCTGCCAGGTGCCACTCTCGATCTGGGTGCTGTGGGTGCAAAGCTAACTCTCAGCCAATCCCTGCTGCCCAGGGCTCACACATTCTGGGCATCGGTGGGCACACACACACATGCCCGTGTGTATGTGGTGATTACCCCTCAGAGAAGGCAAAACGATGTTCACACCTGAGGATGCAGTGGCCGACACTCCAAAAGAGCAGGACTGTGCACACCTGCAATCCCAGCTCTCGGGAGGCTGAGACAGGAGGATCTCTGTGAGTTTGAGGCCATCCTGGGTGACATAGTGAGTTAAGGTCAGCCTGAACTATATAGCAAGACCCTGTCTGAAAATAAAATAAAACCAAAAAAGCAAGACCACTTCAGAGGGGAGGATCCTGAGGCTGTGCTTGAAAGATGGGTTGGGTTTCACCAGACAGCAAGAAACTCAGGTGTGCAAAATTGACCTATGAGTAGCATATGACCAGAAAAGTGTGATGTTTGGGGAACTGGAGAGATGGTCAGAGGAGGAGCCCTCTGTGGAGCTTCACAGCCGCATGCGCTAACTGGGGATTCCTCAGAGGAGCCAGAAACCTCAGCCACACCCATACATTAGCTGGGTTTGCTTACAGGCTACAGCAGGCAGTGTGACACAGGCAGGAGGCAGAGAGCCGAGGGCCACTCGGAAGCAACGTGCTCTGCGCTGCTCACGGCTGTGGGCTGAGGCGCTGCCCCAGACAGGATCTGTAGGTTATCGGACATTCACCAAGAGCTGCTGGGAGCCAGCCGAGAATGGCATGGTGTGAACGCGCTTGGTCACTAAGCGGTTCCCCACGATCCATGCTCTTGTCATCAACCTGTCCTGCAGGGGGGGAAACTGAGGCTTAAAGAGTTCAAGTAACTTCCTCAAAGTAAGGAAGCAGGCACCAGAGCCCTCGGGCCACCTGTCACCCCCAGGGCTGAGGCTTGGGAACCCAAAACAAGCTCACCTGAGCCCAGAGCCTTAGCTGCTGCCCTCTGTATCCACTGGGGATGCTCCCGTCCTCCTGGCCCCTGCTCTTTGCCTCTGCCCTTCCTTTTTGGCTTCTCTAAGCGGTTCAGTTTTTCTAATTCATTTTTATGGTCTCTCTGCCCCCTATAAATTGGGAAATGTTTGCCTGGGGTTTAAGCTTATCCCAGGCTCACCTGCATAACTCACTCACCTCCTGGATTCCTGGGCACAAACTCTCCAAGGCTGGATGGCTGAGCCCACTGTGCAGATTGGCTCAGCCTGGATTTTCTGTGCACCCTGGGCCAATCAGCAACAACCAAGTTTAAATGGTACAGATATGGTGATCAGGGGTTTAGATCTTTTCCTCAGGAGTCCTGGAGACTTACTAAACAGAGAAGTAATATGATTGGGCTTATATTGAGGAGGAAAAAGACCATAGGAGCAACTTATTGCATCTGGATTTCATTAATTACAAAACACTGAGCCCTCTTCTTGATTACAAGACACATCCAGGCCCTCTTCTTGATTCTAGGGACTCAGTGACGATAAAGCCAAGGTCCTTAGCCCCAGTCAGGACTTAGTGTGGGTCTGAGCCATCTGTGCCTCCCAGGAAATTACAAATTGCAAAACCTTGTGTGTCTGAACATTTTTCTAGCAAAAGTGTCTGTAGATTTCACCTGTTTTTGTCTGAGTTTGGTTTTGGTTTTTTAAGACAGCCTGTTTGACCAGGCTAGCCATGAACTTGCAATCCTCCCGTCTCAGCCTCTTGTGTAGCTGGTGTCACAGGTGCACACCAACACATCTAACTTCATCTGATTTTTAACACAGACTTAAGAGCTCATGCTCTGGGGTCAGAATGACCTGCATTAAAATCCTGGCTCTACCTCTTGCTAGTTGTGCAAGTCCAAGTTTCCTCCTCTGGTCGATGGAGCTCATAATACTTAATAGGGTAGTTGTGAAAGTAAGGTATCCATGGAGAGTGGTTAGCACGCACACACTCAACAACAGAGGACAGCTCCCTTTAGTATCACTAGCATCATTGTTGTGAAAGCAACACTCAACCCTGTAATCCTGTGAACCGTGGTCAGCTCAGGAGTCACCAATTATAGTCTACAAGTGAAATTCAACCTGCTGCCTATGTTTATAAATAAAGTTTTATTGAAACACAGTTAACCCATTCATTCATGTGCCAGCCAAGCTGCTTTTGTGCTGCCAATGCAGAGCTAGGTATCCCAGCAGGGAGTACATAGGCTTCAAGGCCAAAGTATTTACTCTTTGGCCCTTTATAGACACAGCTCGCTCACCCTTGGGCTGGCTGGTTAACTGGGAATCATTTCAACAACAAATGGATTTGGGTAAATGATTTGTAGCTCAAATAGTCATCAGTGACTAGCGAGGGGTGAAAACGGCCTTCAGCGTGAAGTATCATGATGACCGTTGTTGGTGGTTGCTAACTAAATCCTCCTCTCTTCTTATCACAGATCCTGGCCATCATTTCCATTATGTTCATCGTCCTCTCCACCATTGCCCTGTCACTCAACACGCTGCCTGAGCTGCAGAGCCTTGATGAGTTTGGCCAGAACACAGACAACCCGCAGCTGGCCCACGTGGAGGCCGTGTGCATCGCGTGGTTCACCATGGAGTACCTGCTGCGATTCCTCTCCTCGCCCAAGAAATGGAAGTTCTTCAAGGGCCCACTCAACGCCATCGACTTGCTGGCCATCCTGCCATACTACGTCACCATCTTCCTCACCGAATCCAACAAGAGCGTGCTGCAGTTCCAGAACGTCCGGCGAGTGGTCCAGATCTTCCGTATCATGCGTATCCTGCGCATCCTCAAGCTCGCGCGCCACTCCACCGGCCTCCAGTCCTTGGGTTTCACTCTGCGCAGGAGCTACAATGAGCTGGGCTTGCTCATCCTCTTCCTTGCCATGGGCATCATGATCTTCTCTAGCCTTGTCTTTTTTGCAGAAAAGGATGAGGATGACACCAAGTTTAAAAGCATCCCAGCCTCTTTCTGGTGGGCCACCATCACCATGACGACAGTTGGGTATGGAGACATCTACCCCAAAACGCTCCTGGGGAAAATTGTTGGTGGTCTCTGCTGCATTGCCGGAGTCCTGGTGATTGCTCTTCCCATCCCTATCATTGTCAATAACTTCTCTGAGTTCTACAAGGAGCAGAAGAGGCAAGAGAAAGCGATTAAGCGAAGAGAGGCCCTGGAGAGAGCCAAGAGGAATGGCAGCATTGTCTCCATGAACATGAAGGATGCTTTTGCGCGGAGCATTGAGATGATGGACATCGTGGTTGAGAAAAATGGAGAAAACACAGGTAAGAAGGATAAAGTCCAAGATAACCATTTGTCTCCCAATAAATGGAAATGGACGAAGAGGACACTGTCCGAAACTAGCTCAAGTAAGTCCTTTGAAACCAAGGAGCAGGGATCCCCTGAAAAAGCCAGATCATCGTCCAGTCCGCAGCATCTGAATGTCCAGCAGTTGGAAGACATGTACAATAAAATGGCCAAGACCCAGTCCCAGCCCATCCTCACTAGCAAGGATTCAGCAACACAGAGCAAACCAAAGGAGGAACTTGAAATGGAGAGCATTCCCAGCCCCGTAGCCCCGCTGCCCACTCGCACAGAAGGGGTCATTGATATGCGGAGCATGTCCAGCATCGATAGCTTCATTAGCTGTGCCACAGACTTCCCTGAAGCCACCAAATTCTCCCATAGCCCTTTGGCATCACTCCCCAGCAAGCCTGGGGGCAGCACAGTTCCTGAGGTGGGCTGGCCGGGGGCTCTGGGTGCCAGCGGCGGTCGGCTAGTAGAGGCCAACCCCGACCCCAGCCACCACTCCAGTTTCATTGAGAGCCCCAAGAGCTCCATGAAGACCAACAACCCCTTGAAGCTCCGAGCACTGAAAGTCAACTTCATGGAGGGCGACCCCAGCCCGCTGCTCCCGGTCCTGGGAATGTATCACGACCCCCTTAGGAACAGAGGGGGCGCTGCGGCTGCTGTGGCCGGACTGGAGTGTGCCACGCTCTTGGACAAGCCTGTGCTGAGCCCAGAGTCCTCCATCTATACCACAGCAAGTGTTAGGACACCGCCCCGCTCGCCCGAGAAACACACAGCAATAGCATTCAACTTCGAGGCAGGTGTCCACCAGTACATCGACGCAGACACGGACGATGAGGGGCAGCTGCTCTACAGTGTGGACTCCAGCCCTCCCAGGAGTGTCCGGGGGAGCACCAGCCCCAAGTTCAGCATCGGCCCTAGATCAGAGAAGAACCACTTTGAAAGCTCCCCCTTACCCACCTCCCCCAAGTTCTTAAAGCAGAACTGTATTTATGCCACCGAGGCATTGACTGGAAAAGGCCCCAGTGGTCAGGAAAAGTGCAAACTCGAGAACCACATCTCTCCCGACGTCCGAGTGTTGCCTGGGGGAGGAGCCCACGGGAGCACTCGGGATCAGAGCATCTGAACTCCCTACCACAAAGGGGACACTTGTGGGCAAGATCCAAGGAGGACAGCTGTCCAGCTTACCTGCCACAGAGCTTTTCTTCATGAACTCACACAGAAAAGCTCTTCCAAGCTCCCAGGGAGCTCACGGAAGTCCCCTAAGACCTGGAAAGCCACACAGGTCCATCAGCATGAAGTTGGCCAAGCCATGGGGACAGTGCCTCCTTGTAATAATTCTACTGCCCTCTTTGGGAGATGACACAAGCAGAGCTCACAGCCACCACGACCACCATTCTAGCCCTCACTGAGGCCACCTGCTCCCCATCCTTCTCTCGTGGCTCTGTCACGGCCTCTGAGGGCCACGTGTCCATCCCTTCTGGCTCCAGCTGAAGAAGGATGCCGGAACAAGTGGCTGGTATTGAAGAATGCATTGACCAATTTTGGTATTCAGTGTCGCCTGGCCACCCCTAGGAAAACCTGTCCATCACCTCCTGGATCCCCTGTTAGAAGGCCTCAGGGCATCCTGAGGAAATCGCGCCATAAGCCACGATCCCAGAGCAAAACCCTTCCTCAAATGACTTCATTGACTTCAGTGTTCCATAGTACCTGAGCTTTTATTTTGAGATACCATCAGGGTGAGTTGCACCATTTGTACTGGATTCTTGTTGCCTCCTGGCAATCTGGGAAGGGTTCAGAAGGTGGGCACACAGCCAACGGGATGAACTCTGCATTGCTTTAGGCTTATAGAAAGAAAATGATTTCTGTACATCACTGGGGTAGACTCAAAAGATACCCGAGTGTCAAATATGCAAAAGAAATAGCTTACTCAAAAAGACTCTGTGTTACTGAAGAACAGCAGAAAAATCTGATTTTCTTTTTTACCTGCAAAAATGAAAGGAAAAAAAAAAACAAAACAAAACGCCCTCGTTAAATGCCCCATCCAGACTTCTGAATACTTCCTGCCGCAGCAGGGAAAGCACCTACTACGATAGAAAATTTTTTTTGTTTGTTTTTGTTTTTGTTTCCTGTGGTATTCAAGCTAAAAGAAATTTAATAAAAAGCACTTTATGTTTTCAAATATAGGTTCTACCAGGGACAGTGTCACCATCTTGCACTTTAAAACAAGCACTATTTCCCGTGGGCCACCTGTTGACGCTGTGTTAGGGTGTTGTTACAGGCCCGTTTCCAGCCACGGTGGGCATCTTCCAAGTCCGTGGGCTCCTTTCCTGCCCCTCTGGAGCTTCCCCTCACCCCCATGGGCCAGGAGGGGTTCTTCTAAAGTCACCTGCACAGGAGACATGCACATCTCAGAAGGTCCCAGCGACAGTTGGGCATTGGGTGTCTGTTCTTTCTCGTCAACCAGCCATCGGTGTGTTTTCAGTGTCAGTCTGTCCTACAAGCTCAGCTCTCCTTCCTGCAGCCATCAATGCAGACAGTACAGACAAAAGCAATAAGTATGTGTGTGCATCCTGAGCGGTTTCTGGTGTATTTCTTGCTGTTGGTCTTCCTGTCCTAGTTTGGTGACCCGCTATCTTCCTGCTTGCTTTTACTCCAGCGGCGTGGTGTTGTTGGCCGTTCCTCCGTACGGTGGCAGCGAGTTGAGCCACTGGTTAATACAATGTTATTGTATCGGTTCATGTGTCAGCAAAGATAAGCTGTTTTTTGTCTGCCTGTCTATCTAGTACAGTGGATCAATGTTGTCCTCCGGGTACACTGTTGATGGATGATGTCCCAGGTATAATAGTGTGATTCTGCCTGGCTTCAACACGGTGACAGGCATGTGTCTTCCTGGTGGAACAAAGACATCATGTTGGGTCACTTATCTTTAGTGCAATCTGTCGCTGGCCTGCCCATTAGTACCATGGTGTGATCCGCCTGTCCTTACACAACTGTCACGTTGTGGTGATGTTGCCCTTAAAAATGTGTGCTCTCTGCTGCATATGGACCCAGTTTATGGCCCTTCGCAGCCTCTCAGAAGGGTACGGTCCCGTTCTTTGCTGTGTTAATGAATAAAATGCAAACTTGACTCTTTCTTGGCACTTTCACAGGACCCGCGAGCAGGTGCCAAGGGACTGAGGGGCGGGGAGAGTGAGTGCGGGCACAGGTTGGCACCCCAGGGAGGAAGCACAGAGCTTCCCAAGCCCTTTGCTGGGTGCAGAGCAAAGCTGGGGCCTCTGAGGAATGACCGTGGGACAGTTCCCTGCTGGCCATCTTCTGTGTCTCTGTTTTCATCACCATTTCTGTCCATCAGCACAAATGTGAAAATTCAGGGAAAACAAATGCTTTTTGATAAAAGTAAATAGTTGTGATTTCCGATTCAAATATTTTTAGAGCTGATGCTATCTGTAAAAATTAATAATAATAATAATATAGTCTATTTTACATATCAGGAAAGTGAACATGTTTCAATATAGCCATATAGAGTGAGAAGGAACTCACCACCCCTTCTTCAAATCAAGGCATTTTGTTGTTGGTTAAAGCGGATGAGAAGTGTACAGGTTGGAAATTACTTCCTCTTTCTTTCTTTCTTTCTTTTTTTTTTTAATGAATAACCAATTGGTGCAACTCTCCTTGTAACCAAAGGCCCTTTATGCCTTCTGTCATGTAGGACCTGGCCCTTCTTTCCTCCTGTGTTTTGTCTGACCTAAAGTAGCATTTTATCGAGTCACTTTTGAAGGACGAATTCAGAAGTATCATTAAGAACCTACCTTTTCAGGCTTCATAGCCAGAGTCCTATAGAGTTCTTATAGAAACAGAATCATTGAAAATCAGCATATACTATGCTTAGAAAGTATTCCGTTTTGGTTTGGGTTTGGTTTTTTCTTTTACTTGTATGTGTATGTATTGCAGGAATATAGCTTTTACCCTGCCCTCGACTCAAAATAGCCCATTGTACTATTTCCCAGCATCCCCCACACCCACCAAAAAGGAACACGCCCCAATTTATAATGTGCATTCACCCAGCCTGCACCCATGTACAGGCATCTAATGCACTGGGAAATCTACCTAAGGTCTCCACTGAGACGCGGACCTTCATAGCTGATCTTGGTAGAGAAGAAAACTGTGTTTGGAGGCAAAGACTGCTTTAGCTAACATTTGCACCCATTGCTGGACCAGCCAGAGCAAACAGAAACAGATCGACCCACATAAAAAGAAAATGAGGGGCTGGGGTGGGCAGACGCCTGGTCCCTTTGGCTAATACACTGAAACTCGTCACAAACTTGCGTTCCAACTTCCCCCACTCTTGGAAAGGGCTAGGGACCAGGTGGCTGCGTGTCCCCACTCACATGGGACAGTCTGGCCAGCGGGAAGGGAAGTAGCCACAGCGTGAAGATCCAGTTCATCCACCATTCTGTCTTTGGGTGAAAGGAAACAACTGGTCTTCGGTGCAGTAGATTTCTCAGTGCCTTCTTTAGGAATTTTATCTTAAGCACACTTGAAGGGAAAAAAAAAAGGAGAGAACATTCATTCCCACGAAGTCCCATAAAAGATCAGGAACCAAGAACAAGAAGAAGAAGAGAAAACAACAAAATCCTGCGGTGGCTGTCTCCTCCCCACCTGCTCGGCTTGCCCCGATAACTGCTGGCGATACACTCTTCAGACTGTTTCCTGAACCTCTCTCCTCCGCCACGGCTCGGTAGCGGTAGCCTGGTCTCTGCCCTTGCTCCTGATAAGATCCATGTTTAGTGGGGGGACAATATTCTCTTCTGTGAAACTGCAATGTATTGTTGATATTTGTAACTATTGTATACTTCTGTCCTGCTCCAGTCATAGCTGAATGTCTACTCCGTGAGTAAGGGGACATTTAAAATTCACCATGGACAAGGGTCACTAAAGCCAGGTCTCTCTCTCTCTCTCTCTCTCTCTCTCTTTTACTTCTCTAGCAACTTGTTTCAAGTAAGATAATCCCAGGCTCTTCAGCCTTAAGTCAAGTAAATTTGAATCAAAGAAGGACACAATAAAAAGCTCCAGGACCTATGCCTTTGGGGACATGTTTTTCTGTAGCCTTGAAGTTGCCAGGAGAAAGGAGGAGGCTTCTCAGAGTCCGCAGCAGGACCATGAAACGCTTCCAGCCCCAAGAGGGCGTTTCCTTGTCTACCACCGCTTCTATGATAAAACCCAAATGCTTTCATGTCACCCAGCCAGGGCCACCCGAACCAGCCCTGGCCGCACACAGAAAGAAATAAGTGTTACCTCTGTGTTTTGTTGCCATTTTCCTGGCTCTAAAAGTATTTGATGTGTGACTACATCATAGGAGGCCCACACATCTCAGAGTAGTCTATTTTTCTGTTCAGATAAAATTTATATATGTGTGTGTGTGTGTTTTTAGCAAATTTATAATAGGGCATTTGAGTCTAATTTCTTCTTTTATGATACAGAGTACTATCTTAGGAGTTTTATTGTTGGTCAGTATCATAGTTGATATTTTCTGGTCTTTTTCATTTCTTCCATAGTCCCTTTGGATTTTTCTTGTTTTTGTTTTGGTTTTTGATTTTTTCGGTTTTTGGGTTTTTTGAGTGATTTTCAGGAGGCAGGGAGACTTTGGGGCTTGACTTCGGCGTAGGGATTTCCTGGCACTAAGAAATGTCTGCTCTTTCCTCATCCGGTCTGTGTTTCTCTTCCACGTTGTTCCTAAGAGTCTGGGCAGGAGTGAGACAGGAAAGCTGGCCTCAGAATCAGGATGGGACGCAGGCTGCCTGAGCTCCTGCCCCACACCTTCCAGAGATCTGCAGGTTTCTCATCCCCAGACATCCTGGAGTCAAAAGCCTCATGCCCAAACCTGCTGCAGGCGTCTCTGAGATCTAGAACCCTCCCAAGTCCCTGTTAGCCCAACTGTCCTGACACCCTCCACCCCCCACCCCTCTCCCGCCAACCGTACCTAAAGGGCAGAGCGTGCTCGGGTCCTTGCAGACCTCGGAAGAACATGCTTCTCATCAGTTCCTCAGTTCAACCCATTCCTAGCAGCCTCACGGAAAGAGCAGCCAGGTGCCCTTGTAGCCAACACAGAAGCGATGTTCTCGGAACCTGCTCTCTCCTCCCCTTTCCTTTCCAACTGCTGGCTCCGTGAGATTTCTTGCAAAGACAGCGATACTTTTCCAGTTTTCATCTCTCCAAGCCTTGAAGTTTTTGGTCTTTCCTGATAATTAATTTCACAAGGCGGTATCCAGCCTCCTCGAGGCTGAAGACGTCTCACTGAGCAGGACTTCAAGGGGAAGTGATCTCCATTCATCAACCCTGGGTTGATACCGAAGGGCCAGGGGATCTCCAGCCCGCATTCATCCAGGCTTTGATCTTCACTTGCCGCCCTGTCAGCTCTGGGTCTGCCCAGTGTCAGAGATGTGAGCCAAACCAGGACCCCCAGACAGCAGTGAACCATCCTTGCCAGATCAATCCCGACAGGAAGCCAACCCAAGTGCATCTTATTATTCTGAATGATGACCCTGGCAGTTGTCCCATCCCCCAGTTCCTCGTGGTCTGGTTTAAACCAGACCCAACCAAAACAGACATTTAAAAAGCAAAACAAAACTTTTACCTAAGAATAGTAAAACCAACAAATTTCCTCCCAGTAGTTTTCCAGGTTCAATGTCCAGATAAGCAAACACCTCTGCCTGTGGGTGTCCTCAGTAAGCAAAAGGCCTGGGTTTGGAGCATCAAATTGGAATAGGCTGGTAATCGAGCAAACCCAGCTCCTCACTTCTAATCCTAACTTTATTTCTAAATCTATTTAAATGTATTTTTAATGTGTTTTAGATCTACAGCCTGGCCAGGATGGGGCAGAGTAGAGCAGGTGACCTAGGATGGCTGCACACACACAGGTCCCTGATGTTTTCTCTCGTGTGACAGGGACAAGGAGGTTGATTTCAGCTCCAATTAAGGAAGTCCACCTAATAGGCTAGGGGTCTCCTAGGAAGCCCAGGGCCATGGAAGGTAATGAGCTTGCATCCCTTCCCACGTGTATTTAAAGAGAACCTGGTTGATATGCAAAGTGGGTATTGCAAAGTGTTCCTAGCCTTGCATGGAAACTGGGCTCCAGATTGAAGGACATTCCCTCTGCTTCCTGGTGCATGCGTGTGCCTGTATGTGTGTGTGTATGTGTGTAGCTTGTACATTCTGAACACAGGCTCAAGGCGAGGATAAAGCACAGTTAGCAGGAGCTCAGGTTCTAGGGTTTGGAGCTGTCTCAGGGGGATGCCAAAGCAGGAAGGTGGCAGCAGGGCACCCTGCCTCTGTCCTCCCTGCCTCACACCCTGTCAGTCACCCCACCCAATCCCAGTGGCCTAACAGGGACCACACTGGGATGGGACACAGCTTCCCTTCCCCAGGCCAGCCAAGGAGCCATCCACAAAGTCCCCACCTCCGGCAGGCCGTCTCACGGTGCTTTAGCCCTTCTGCCCAGGCACTGTGCCCGCATAGAGGTGCAGTGATCTTTTACCCACTAGCAGCCACCCACTGCCCAGCAATCACAAATGGCACCATTCCAAAGGGCTCCCCCACCCCCAATAAGTAAAACAGGATTCATGCAGGACCTTCAAAAATCTCCGCCTACAGTGTAAACTCAGAAAGGCAAAAGGAAAGGCAGCCACAATCAGCTTTACAGCAAAACAAGGCTTTAGCTGCCTGCAAGCAGAATGCTTGGTCCCACCCCCAGCTCCCGTATCTCTTCCCATCAGGCCTGGCTCCTGCTTTCTCTGAGCAGGGTGTTTGGCGTGGGAGTTCATTTGTGTATAGCGATTTTAGAGGAGGTGGGACTTGAGCATCAGGGTGAGCCCAAGTCCAGGTGGTCTTAGGTTTGACACAAGGTGAGGCCAGTGAGACTGGATGGGCAGAATGGGCAACTGCCTTCCTCCAAAACCAAATAAAACAAAAACCAGTTTCCAAAGTCACACTCCATGGAAGCAAGGTCCTACAGAAACTGCTCAAGATGTAAGACTACTGTGTCAGGACAGTTAGCGAAGATGCAGGAAACTCCCAATTTTGTCCCACGTGGATGTGCTCCGGTCTCACAGGGATGGCCAGTCACTTCCTGCCCCCTGGGATAAGCTGGGCTGAAATAGAGCTGGGTGTGGCATTAGGTAAGCTGGCAGCTGGCTCCTTTCTCTCCAGGTCTACCTTGACTTCGGTCCAAGGGCAAGGCTGGGAGCCCCATTTTCTGTATCAGGAACTCAGGGTTATCTGCCAGCATGTGCCCTCGGCACGCGGTGGTCTTCCCACCTGTGTTGGGTTAAGTGAGTGAACGTGGGAATGCCTGATGGGTGAATGCGTGTGGGGCACGGGGAAGTGAGCTGCTGGTTCTTCCTGGGCTGTCTGTGTTGCTAACTGGGGAGGAAGGAGAAATGGGAGACACCCGCCTTCACTGAAGACCATAAATACCCCACCAATGCCGCCTGTTCTTGGACACAATTTGGGATCACAGTGACATCCAAATTTGAGCTTTGTAGGTCCCCAACCTGATAAGGGTCACGGCCCTCTCGGAGCCTCCCCTGCAGGAGGCTGCAGGGGCAGCAGCCTCAGCCCCCCTTTCCTGCCTGGCAGTTGAAGCCTTATGTTGTAGCTTAGCTCACACGGTCCGTGGGAGACCACACAGTGGTTTTTCCAATGGGCTGAGCCAAGGGTCCAGAGTGGAGGTTTCCCTTGGTCTGGGATTTGCTGGTGTGGGAATGTGGGCACATCTGGAACTGGAGTGCATTCCCTGAGCCGTGGAGTCAGTTGCATGAGAGGGCTTGCCTGTCCTTCTGCTGTTAGAGCCAATGGTCTCCATTTTTCTGAGCCCTGAAGCCCTCCGTGACAACATAAGTCCCAATGGCATCAGCTAAGACCCTCTGTCCCTCCCAGGAACCTGTGGTGTGAGGTTGGGGCTCTTCTGCCAGCAAAGCCATTCTGATCACCCCACTCATGATGGGGACCAAGCCAACCACATTAGCCATAAACGACCAATGTCCTCAGCCACTCTTTTCTCGGGTTTGTGGGTCCTATTCATTTTTCATCCATTGACGTCCTCTAGTCCTTCCTGTAATGGTGAAAATAAGCATTGGGCGTGCATGCGCTCATACACACACACACACACACACACACACACACACACACAAACACACAGAAACCAAACAAAAATCCCAGTGTCTTTTTATGCATGTAGTGAGATGAAATTGTGATCCTTGTGTGACCTCCAGCTGCTGTCCTGTCTTGTAAAATATGTCCAAATGTTTAAGAATTTCCAAGCAAATGGTCCCTTAATGAAGTCTGCAGAGTTCAATAAAAGGTGTGGAGAAAACAAGCTTGGCGGTGTGGTGGTGTTTATTTTCTGGAGGATGCGGGGCAGTAGGGGTGGGAACCCCCACAAGGAGGGCTGCAGCTGGGGCCCTGGAGAGCTAAAGGGGTAACATGGGCATTTGCTCTTCCCCTTAAATAGTAAGGGCATGAAAAGTTGGCTTGTTACCCCAGACATGAGAGCCAAGGGCAACACGTCCCATCCAGCATTCAGTGATCAAAGCTCCATCTCTGGTCATTTGTCAACTCTGCCTGGGTGCCCCACTCATAAGAATGTCTCACAAAAGAATGCAGAAGCTCTGGTACCTGCAGGTAACGTACAGGAGAAAAGCAACCTGGCTATGGGGATAAAGGATAGAAACTGGAAGGCATGCGTCTGTCTAAAGGGGCAGTCACTGTACGTCGCCACCTGTCTGTTACCACGTGGGGCTGTGACCCAGCAACACCAGGTCATTTTAAATCCAAATCAGGATTTTATGGGAAACATGCTGACTTTTAAACGCTAGCCTTGAATTCCAATTTCTCTGGTCCCCGCTGGCCAGATGAAGCTCGCACGTGTATAGACCTTAGCCGCAGGGTTGTGTGATCCCTCGTGTGGCTGATAAAGCTTGTGTTCATTTTCTATCACCATGTAAAGCATCCCTGATGTCTAGCTTGGCTTGAAGTATTTGTTGTTTCATGGTTTTCGTGGGACAAGAGTTCAGGACCACCCTAGCTAAGTGGCTCTGAGTGAGAATCTTCCCAGTGGTCACAATCAAGACATAAGCTCCTGTCCTCTGCTCCACTGGGGCAAGAACCACTGCTCCTGCTCAGGTGGCTTAGGAGCCTCTGTTCCTTGCTCATTGCTGGCAGGAGGCCTCTGGTCACCCTGTGGGCTCTGTACAGGGCTCCTGAATGTCCCTATGGCATAGGGCTGGCCTCCCCAGAGCGCATGGCTCAAGCAAAAAAGCCAAGAGGAAACCCAACAGCCTTGTGTCAGAAACAGACTCCATCACTTCCAACAGCCTCCTTGTGAGTCACCAATCCAGCTCACAATTTGTAGGGTGGAATTCCACCTTCAGGGAAAGGTGGACAAAAGATCAGGGAACAGGTTTTATTTTTATTTTATTTTTTAGAGTGCTGGGGATGGAACCCAGGGCCTCATACATGCTAGGCAAGTTCTCTGCTGCTGAACTGCACCCCTAACTTAAAACCACTGTATTCCGGGGCTGGGGGTTTAGCTCAGCGGCATAAGTGCCTGCCTTGAAAGCAGGCAGTCGTGAGTTCGATCCCTGGTACCAATAAAAAGGAAAAAGACAAAAAAACAAACAAACAAACAAACAAACAAACAAAAAACACTGTATTCCAAAGGCCATTTGGTGGAAAGAGTAGTTTTCAAACTTTAGAATGTTACAACCTAATAAATTACCCATTCAGTCTGAGGAAGTATACAAGCCTTGGATTATTTCATTTTGCTAAGTAAGAACATTTAAAAAAATAACTATGTTCTATTCACATTCATCATTGCCTAGTGAAACAAATGCTAATTCCAGCCCCTAAAGCGTACCATCTCAGAATAAATGACCATCTTTTACTACCTGGGGAGTTGAGGCAAGAGGCCTGCAAGTTCAAGGCCAGCCTGGACAACTTCATGAGACCCTGTCTCAGAATCTTTATAGGGACTGGGGCTGTAGCTCAGTGACAGAGCGCTTACTCACCGCGTTTGAGGCTCCAGCTTCAGTTCCCCCAGCACTGAAAAAAGAGGGTAGGGGAAGCCATTCTTTAATCAAAAAATTGTATTATATGTTTTCATTGACCAAAGCACCCAGGGACTGCCTCATTCTGTGGGGTGTCCAGCAGCACGCATAGCCTTTACCCACGGGGATACCAAGCATGCACCTCAGTTGCAACAATCAAAAATGTCTCCAGAGGTCCCCAGCTGTCCTTTGGGGGACAAAAATCACCTGCAGTTGTGAATGCCCAGAAAAGGTACAATGTCCACAATTCAGAATTCCAGGGAAGAGCAGTGTCCTCCATGCCATCGGACTCCCAGCTGTCCCACCTGGACAGGCCAGTACTAGAGATGATTGTTGCCAACACCCAAGCGCGTATATGTGTGTTTTATTTTGCTTTGCTTTATTTTACCACAAATAAATAGTAACGTACTATAGACACTGCTTCACCTTCTTCTTTTCCCTTAATATATTTTGGAAATCAGGCTGCATTCACGCCCGAAGAGCTTCCTCGCTCCTTGCAAGCCAGCCTCACGTCTTCTTCCCAGGAAGTTGCTGGTCTCCTGCTGTTGAGTACTGAGCAGCTTCTGCACTTCGGCGGTCGCCCTCAGTGCTGGAACGAGTGGCCTGTGCGCAGCTGCTCTGGACTCTGCCTGCAAGGCAGGCCAGGAATCCGCATTCTCAGCCCGCCACTGCCACAGCCCCCGTTGTCACTGCCCAGTCCTTACAGCAGCTGCCAGACTGGGCTCCTTGCTTCCTCCCTGGGTCTCTTGCAGGTTCTTCTCAACCCAGTGGCCAGAGGAGAATCATCCAACTACCAGTCCGACCTGTCACTTCATCACCAAGCCCTCCCAAGGCCTCCCAGCACATGGTGAGTACAAGCTGAAGTCCTTGGTGTGGTTTGCAAGGCCACAGTTCACCGTCTCCTGCTTTCACCATTCTGCTCCAGTGTGGTTGCCTCTTCCCTGGTCCTCAAACATGCTCGCCACAGGCCCTAATGATGCTACCCGCTTCCCATCTCTGCCATCCCAGATTGCCTGTCTTAAGCTCATCTTTCCCTTCCATGATGCTTGTCAATTTTCTGATGTGCAAAGCACACTTCCACCCCAGGACCTTTGCTCTAGCTATTTCCTCTATTTGGACCATCTATTCCAGGCCAGTCACGTGACTCTCAGCCTCACCTCTTTGGTCACTTCAATAACCCTTTTATCTCATGACTCTACTTAAAATAGCAACTATATACAGTCACACTCCATCTCCTTGTTTGATTTATTCTTATTCATTGCACTTATGTATTTATTTTGTTTATTATTTATCTCTGTCTCACAGAATATAATTCCATGAACACAGGATTTTTATTAGTTTTTCTCACAGTTGTGCTTCCGAGGAATAGAAATACATCTGGTATATAGCAAGTGCTCAATAAATAATTTGTTAAATATTGAGCCAAAAAAAAAAAAATACCCAAATGTCAGTTCAAACGGAACTCACTTCATATTGTGTGTGGACTTCTCTAAAGAAATATCCTGGAAAGTCAAGTTGTTGATAAAAGGGTTTGCGAGCTTTCTATGGGTCTTTTTTTCTCCCCTCAATACTAGGGATTGAATCCCGGACCTTTCCACTTAGCTACACTCCCATCCCTTTTTGATTCTTTGTTTTTTAACACAGGGTCTCATAACATAGTTCAAGCTGACCTTGAACTCACTATGTAATCCAGCCTGGGCTCAAGCCCACAGTGACCCCTGCCGAGCACAGGTATCACAGGGATGCACCGTTCCCCCACCTCCTTTTTCATTCTTGCATTTCCAGACAGGGTCTTACTAAGCTACCCAGGGAAGACTTGAACTCATCACTTCTCCTGCCTTAGCCTCCCAGAGTTCTGGGCTTCTGGGGCTGCAGGTCTGACTGCTGTCACACCAAGGTCCCCTGTCACAGTGCATATCCCGCCAGCAATCAGAACAGCCATGAAAACCTGCTTACGTGATCCTTATTTTTCTCATTCTCTGACATGAGCTGGAGAAACCTCCATCAGAGGCTCACAGACATCTTGGGCCACACTGATGCTCACAACCCCCAGAAAGCGCTACCAGTGCCATTCCACAGATCAGCACAGAGATCCGGATTCCTGCTGCTTGCCAAGGCCCTACCGCATGTCAGCAGCTCAGCAAGAGCCCTGGTCCCTCCTTAAGCACTCACGAGCATCACCACAGGGGGCCAGAGGCCCTCTGGGAATGGTTTAGGCTCAGAAGAATTCCAGGCCTCCTGGCTGCACTCTCCACCCATCTGTAGGTCGCTAAACAAACTCAGCCTGGCACCTTCTGCTTCTCAGTCTTGAATATGTGATTGTGTGATACTTGAATGTGTGATTCTGAGATCAGTGAGGACACCTCTTTTGCCTCCCTTTTATCTACCTCCCTCCTTTTTTCTCTTTGCCTTCTACGTGCATTTATTGAGCACCGACTCTGCTCGGTGCGGGGGTAACAGTTGGACCAGTCCTAGTCAGGGGCAGTGATGGTGAACCTTTCAGAGTGTTCAATGATACAAACAGCTCGCTGCAGCTCGTGGGCCATGGGTTCGCCACCACTGGTATAGGGGGGTTCACACTCACTCAGATTCAGGCAGGGGCTTCAGAGAACCCCTGGACACATACACAGACTGTGTCCTGCATGTCCCCTGGATGGTCACTGCATGCTCTTTTCCCTGTCCTCACAAAACACTGCCAGGAAGGTGCTGCATTCCTATTCGGAGACGGAGTAAACAAGAGCAGAACACCGACGGGACTGTCCAAGCTCCTGCTGCTCCTTCTTTTGTAGGCTTGTCTCCTGTTCTAGTTTGCATGGATTTTAACGCAAATCTGTCTGATTTCACTAGATAACACCCTCTGTCAAAAGGATCAAGCATGGTTATTTACTCAGTAGCCTGGAAAGCACAGAGTTTAAGAGACCTGTGTAGGGAGCCAGCACACCAGAAGTCAAAATCCCGAGTCCTCCACAGTTACTGGTCGGGAGGTCTCCCCTCCACACCTCTGGGCCCCATCCGCAGAGCACTGTGAATGCACTTGGGCAACAGCTCTGGAAGGGCCAGGAAAGGCGACATATGCAGGGTTAGATCCAGTCTTTATGTGACGTTCGATGGGCTTAGTCACGTTCCTCACTGTAGGAACAAAATACCAGACACAACTAAGAAGTGTTGGCTCCTATTTTAGACATTTCAGGCCATGCATGGTAGGAGACATGGAAAGGCCTGGGCAGAGAAAAACTGCTTAGCTCATGGCAGAGAGGAAGCAGAGCATCAAAGGGAGAGCCAGGGACAGGAGATACACCCCTCTGGTCACACCCATAGTGACCCATCTCTCCCGACCAGGCCCCACCTCCTAACCCCAGTCAGCTGTAAACTCCTACAACCCAGTTACCTTCAGGGTCCTGCCTATGATTGCTTGAGGCTTAGGGGGACATCTACATATAAACCAGCACGTTGACATTTTGTTCACCATGAGTTTTGGCATCACTTTTCATTCTTTTAAAAGACTGCAGTAAAATAGTCTTCATTCTGATGTAGAATTTCCCACATCTCCTGGAATCTTGCATATTTCAATATCTGGGAATGCAACCTTGAGCAAAACCGATCTTTGCTTCCTTCAAGAGATACATCTTTGTGGAAGGAGCTGCCAATACAAAGCACAGAAAAATAAAGATGGTAAAAAAGACTGAAAGAGAAGAGAGAAATGGGACTAAAAATAGTACACATCACTCATAAGTTGGTGTAAAGATGAAAAGAATGACCCATGCCAAGGATCTGGTGCAGAGGCTGGCACTGTAAATGCTACAGAAAGATGGGCCATGGGCGAGATTTCTGTGTGAGGTTGGCACAGGGGCACGGACTCCGAGCTCTGCCCACCTCCCGAGAGCTTTCGCTTGGAACAGCATTTCCTCAGCTGTTTGGACTCAGAAGGGGCGCGTTCCTTAAAGCCTGTGTGGCAGGACCCCCTGAAAAATCTGATGAAACCTTCAGACTTCTCAGAATAACACTTCTGGGTAAAATAAACTCCATACGTTTACAAAGGAAATCTACTCCGCCAAAATGCCATTACCAAAATATTTTAAAATATGTGATATAGTAATATATGTGCTTCTTTTTAATAAATAACAAAATCTAGCAGTGGGTCTAATAACTACAATAATTTTAAAGTAGCAAAGAGCACAAATGCTATTTTCCAGATACCTATAACAGCCATAATGAAAAGCCACAAGATCTGTGATTTTTGTGTGTGTGACAACATTGCTGGAACTGCTAATGCTATTATGATTTGTTGTCTATTAATAACTAAATCGAGTGCTATATTGCAGCTACAGATCAATCAAAATATTTTTCCTACTGTTCCCAAGTTAATTGAACCAGATTAAGAATTTATACATTAGAGCCCTTTAAAATCTATTTCATGAGTCGTAACTAGCACTTTTTTTTTTTTTTCAGTACTGGGACTGCACACAGAACCTTTGCACTGAGCTACATCCTAAGGCCTTTTTTTATTTTTCACTTTGAGACAGGGTCTTGATATATCACTGAGATGCCCAGGCTGGGCTTGAACTTCCCATCCCTCTGCTTCGGCCTCCCAGAGTGCTGGGATTACAGGTGTGTACCACCATGCCCAGTGTGGACTAGCACTTTTTAAATGAAAGACAAAAAAAGTGGAACAGAATAGGAACCAACATGCATCGCTCATAAGAAGGTAAGAATCACGAAACTGTCGCTACAGTTGAGTGTTGGCGCATGCGCACGCATGCATGTTGCGTATCTATGATGCATGATCTTTATTCCCACAGCTCACACTCAAAAATATCTGAGAAACAATAGTGTAGGGGACACCAGACCCGGCTCAGCCCCTGACACATCACAGATATCTGTGAACATCTCTGTTCCCCTCCAACTGCTATCAGCCCATCCTCTCGCCCTAGCCAAGTGTCACATAAGACTCAGGCTCAAAAAAGCCTACGCTGTCAGGCACTGCACAGCTGCCCCCACCCTCCCCACGCGGGGAGAGGAGCAGGTGCAGCAATGCCGGTGCCCTGAGCTCATGGCCTGATTGGGGACCTGCCCCTGCGGCTGACCACATGGCCCTACAGCAAATATTTGGAGAGCTGTTTGTGCAGAGCCAGCTGGTGGCACGTCTGGAGGTGCCAGGCTGCAAAGGTCTGGGCTAACGAAACTGCTTCTGTTGAGCCGCTGGAGGGATCTAAGACCAGGCTGCTAGTCCATGCTTTTCCTGTCTGCATGTGTGCTCCTACTCCATTCCGGCCCCTGGAGTGGATTGTTGTGAGAGGCTGGAATAACAAAGCCAAAACGTCTCCCAGGTGGAAAAGACTTCGGTGCTGCAGGCGGGAGGTGGAGAACAAATGATCCCTTGCCAGCCGTGTGGGCAATGAGCCCCATGCTAATATACAAGGAATTGCAAAGAGGAGGAGATGGCTTTGGGGTGGGCGTGGCGTAGATTCCAACTGCAGCTCCGCCTAGCAGCTCAGGACAGAAAATTTGGAATGTGAAACATCTGTGTTCAAATTCTGGCTACATTTCTTCCTTGCCATGTGACCTAAAGAAGTCATTTTCCTTCCCTGAATCTTGGGTATCTTCTTCTTCATAAAATGGAAAAATAATAGCTTCTGTCTCGGGTACTGCTGGGAGATGCGACGAAAAGATAGGCCATGTTTAGCCCAAGAATGGACACAGGGTGGGTGCCCAATCATGGTGTCTTGTCATTGCCCTCCGTATTAGTTCCACCAATGCACGGAGCATAGCACGTTCTTTAATAGGGATTATTACCCTGCCTGAGCACCTCATGATGCCAGCGATCACAGGGAAAGTAAAAATGTACTTGTTAACATTTACTGAGCGTGGACTGTGTGCCAGGCACCGCTCCGAGCTCTTCAAATATATTTGCTAATTAATTCATAGCAACAACCTCATGCAATACAAACTAGGAAGTCATCATCATGAGATTATCAACAGCAGCAGCCCCATGAAATCACCCTCGCCTTAGCTTACAGATGGGGACTACATTAGTGATCTATCACTGCATAACAAACTACCTCGCCACTCAGCAGCTTGAAATAACAATAAACATTTAGCATCACACACAGCTGCTATTGCTCAGGATTTGGGACTGTTTTAACTGGATGGTGCCGGCAGGATTTGCTGTTTTCTAACAGGCTTATTCTACACTGAGCAGAGTCCTTGAGCTCCATTCATGTTGTAGCATGTGTTTGAATTTTCTTCTTTTTAAAGACTGAATATATTCCATGGTCTTAACATAATTTTATTGTCTTTTTTGTTTACTTTTGTCTTTTTGAGACAGGGTCTCACTATGTGGTTCAGGCTGGCCTTGAACTCACTATGTAGCCCAGGCTGGCCTCAAATTTGTGGTGATCATCCTGCCTCAGCCTCCTGAGTGCTGGGATTACAGGTGTGTGCTACCACACTGCACAAATTATTTTCAAAACATCCCACCAGTCACCCCGAAGTGCCTTGCTCCCTGTGGAAGGGGTCCACACATACGAGTGAACACCAGGAAAGGAGAAAAAGGAGACTCACTGGGGACCATCCTGGAAGCTGGCAACCACCCAACTGAGCCTGAGAGGCTTAGTAACTTCCCTCAGGTCACACGGCAGGTAAGCGACAGACCCGGAGCCCAAGACTCAGAAGCACTGTGTACAGGGCATGGCTTCCCCTGGCAAGGAAGAGACATGGAGTAGGGTGGAGATTCTGGACACAGGTCAGGAGGCCCAGGCTGGGGTCTCCCCCTCGATGCTGATTCTCCTCAGCAGGGCACCATCCTCAAAACTATAAGTGCACAAAATTCCCTGCTGCCTCGTGCTGAGGTCACAAGCATTATTTCAAATGCTAACTGTGCAGAGGGTGAAGATATTAAAAATTCTTAAGCTGCATGGTTAGGTTAAAAAACAAATGCCAGATGCAGCAAAGACACTGCATCTTCCCGAGGCTTCTCCCATGTCTCCCACAACGTGAGGCTGGATCAGCTACCCCTTTGGGCTGCTGCAGCCCCCAGAGCCCCCCCCCCCCCAGCTCCACCATCCAGGGCCCCAGGCTTTGACTTCCTGTGGCTCCCATGAGTTGGTTAACCCCGAAGAAGTGGGAGCCAGCTGACGGGCTCAGATCGTGGCTTCTCTATTTATGTCCTAGCTTTGTGATTTGGGGCAAGTTACTTCACCTCTGTGCTTGGTGAACTAATATGAAGAACGGGCTGTCGTGAGGATTAAATGGGCTGTCTTTTATGAAATCCTGTCACAGTCAATAAACACTGCACTTGGCAGGAACTGCATGCAGGCAGCACCCGGCCCGGGGCCTCACGAGGGGCAGGCACTCAGAAAGGGTTCACTGAGTGGATCCAGGCATTTGTTCCACAAATATTTATCTAACACCTTCTCTGTGCCAGATCCCAGCAAGACAAAGGGTGCAGTCTGTGCTCTCATGGGGTTTATATTCTCTTGGTGAAGACAGCCGATGAATAAATAGGAAAATAAGCCAACAGGAGAGCGAGCGACTGCTGGGTACTAAGAAAATGGAAGAAATCAGGTGGCAAGAAAGAGCGCCTGGGAGTGGCACTTTGGGAGACAATCAGGGAAGACCTCCAGGAAGAGGCAGCTGTGCGATGACTCAGGGGACAGGAGGGAGCTCACTACAGGAAGAGCTGGGGAGCAGCCTTTCGGGCAGAGGGCACAATGTGCTCCTGGGGGAGGCCAGTTCGGCTGCCAGGCTGATGAAGGAGAGGAGGGGTGGCAGGAGGTGGGGGTGGCTGCTGAGCCCAACACACAGCACCTCACAGCCTGAGTTTACTCTGAGGACAGAGAACAGGCAGCAGAGCATTTAAGCCAGAGAGCCCACAGTCCCAGCCCAAAGCACGAAGCGTCTGCTCATCAAAGCAGCGCCAGTTCTCAGCAAGCGACTCAGCCTGGAGTCACTGTCATCCATCCTTGTCTCTGCCTCTTCTCAAGTAAGACTCGAGGCCCCATTAATATAAATGAGGCCCTTTGGTGACTTGATTGCCAAATGAGTCCAGACAGTCAAGATCTCAATTCCAGGAAAAGTGAAATTTATATAATGAACATCAAAAGAGAAGCCGGGCAAGTGGCTGCTTAAGTGCCAGCTTCCTGGGTGAGTGAGCCAGGCCTGTGCGTCTGAGAGAAGATGGATGAAGATGTCACCAAAGGCTGTGGCAGCCTGTGGCCAGCAGGGAGGCCAGGAACCCCCAGCCCACCTTCTCCCCACAGGGAAAAACAGGGACTCTGACCCTTGGTTGTCACTGCTACCCACCTCCCCTGCATGGATGACCTCATCTAACCCTTCTGCCCATGGAACAGGCCAGGCCCTGCGCTGTCCATCATTCTAGAGGATGAAACTGAGGCTTTGATGGGTTACATGTCTGACCAAAGTCACAAGGTGAGCCGGTGGCTGGCAGCAAACACAGATCTATCCACCACTCCCCTCACAGAGCCGCTGGCCCAGACCCCAGACAATGGAGACTGAAAGCAGAAAGGTCCAGGGGCCCGGCAGACCCACACTCAGCCTCAAGCACAATTCTCCTATAACCATAGCCCCTTGCCACAGGACTCATCTCAGAGTTAAAGAAGATAAAAGATGCCAAGCATGGGATCAGCTGACTTGTGTGTGGGGGGGGTGTCTATTTACTGGTCCAGAAAGTCTTACAATGATACTGAAAGTCTTACAGTCTTACTGATACGATGTTTGTCTGGATCCAAGATGTTTTAAAGACGTCATAAGGGCTCAATTTTTCCCTTTCTCCATGTAGTGGACCCTCATTTGTGTTCCGTCATTCTTCCAATTAGAAATATTAGCAAAAAGAAATCTGTTTCTCAATAGGGCAGCAAAAGTCCCAGATTTACTCTGATTGGATCAAGGTGGGTCACGTGTTCATCCCACAGCCAATCACTGTATCTATAGGTATAAACTCTGCTGATTGGGCCACCGGGGTCACAAGAACACCCTTGTAGCCTGCGGAGGGGTGCCGAAAGTCCACACTGAACCAGTTGGACTGGGAGAGGGAGGGGTGAGGCTCCTAGAGGAAAACTGGGGTGCTGTTATCAGAAAATAAAGGATGCTTGCCAGGCCAGTGTGAACGCCAGATGGCGTTCCTGGCACCCCAGTAGGCCCTACATAAACAGATGTTCATTTGAATGAACTAACGTCTATCCAGAGAAGGTGGTAAGGATCAAGTGGAATAATGTATGCTCCGTCCCTGGCACACAGTCAGCACTGAGTAAATCTTGTCTTAAAGGAACTAAACGTGCTCCGACTGGGTTTGGCTTTGGTCATGGGCTAACGCGGACAGGCTTGGGATGGAGTCAGGAGGGGAGGCAGGCACCCTTGCCGCAGCCAGGCCTTCTTCAAGTTCCTTCCCCCTGCCGGACAGTGCCAGGGTAGGAGTGCGAGGCACTCACCTCAAATACACAACGTGAAAGGGCACCAAAAAACTAAGTCAACAGGAAGGCTAATATTTTAATGCCATGAAACATCAACATTTTAAAGACACTATTATAATCTAGTTGCACGTCACTGTCTACACTTCCAGACTCGAACACACAGAAACATGTTTCCCAGGTATATTTACACACTTACACATAGGCACAGATCACTGCATTTCACAGCTCCAGGAGGTCTCATTGCATTAAGCTGTGTGCACACCCCAAGTGGCAAAACACAGCACCCTAGTATATGAACAAACACACACATTCATCACCACTCATCTGCCAATGCCACCCATAGGCCATCAGATATGTGTCACATCATCCCTATAGGCACACAAGACATACAATTGCAGGATATAGTCCTATCTGCCACATTACTGCCTCAGGGCCTTTGCACCTGGCCATTCCCTCTCCCTGGACTGTTCTTGCCAAAAACAACAACAAAAAAAACTATGCAATTTCTTCTTCCATCTCCTTCAAATTGAGCTTAAAAGTCACCTTCTCAGCGAGGCCTTCCCTGACACCTTGTGTCCCTACCACACTTTAAAAAATTACAATGTAGTCCCACACACAGGCACCATCAGTATATTCTTCCCTGCTTCATTTTTCTCCGCTGCACTTGGTGCCATCTGACCTATGTTCCTTTTTATCATCTGTAACATTTATCTACCCCAGCTGAGCAGCTGGGGATTTCGTCTGCTTTGTTGACTGCTGTGTTCCTAGCTTTGAGAACAGTGTCTAGCACATAATAAGTGTTCAATAAACATTTGTCAAATTAACTAATGAAAGAAGCCAGGAAGTGGGGAGGGTCCCTGAGAATGAAATTTCCCCCTACCCCAGCCAGAAGGTACCCTAAAGTCAAAATGTACGTTGATTTCAAGAACTAATTTAAAAGTAAGGAAAAACGCAAGGTGTATTCTGAGTGCTGTGAAAGTATCATCTCATTTAATCCTCCCAACAACACTGGGAGGTACTGTTACTGTTCATCCTCACTTTACTTGGGAGGGACCTAAGGTACTGACAGTTTAACTCGCTCAAGATGACACAGCATCCAAGTAAAAGAACCAATTGAACGCAGGCCTGACTCCACGCAGCTCAGACCACACCCACACGCGTGCGCACATGTACACGCACACCACATGCCCTCATAAGTAGCTGCATTAGGCCCGTTCAATCCTCTGATGACATGGAAGACTGAGAATTCCTAGCCGGGCAGGGTGACACATACCTGTAGTCCCCGAACTATGGAAGGCTGAGGCAGGAGAATCGTAAGTTGAAGCCCCGCTTGGGCAACTCAGTGATTGAATGAGATCCTGTCTCAAAATAAAAAAATTAAAATGGAAAAAAAAGAAGGGTTGGGGGTCTAGTTCAGGGTGAAGGCCCTGGATTCAGTCCCCAGTGCTAGATTAAAAAAGAAAAAGAAAAAAATTAGAATCCTCTTTCCCTGCCATGGGTGTACGCTGTCCCTCCCTTCGCCAGTGCCCTGTCCCTACCATTGTCCTCACACATCCCAGCCAAGCACAGACCTGTGCTTGACGCAGGAAGCTGTAGGCTGCCCGGTTGTCATGGCAATGGCCGCCAGTTCCTGTAAACAGTCTCCTTCCGCTGCCTGGCTGCCCGACTGGCTGACTCCATTCTCAGAAGCTGTTCCCAGGTCTCATCCTGCTCTTGACCCCTTCTGGGTGGCTGGCAAGCTGATGGCACCCTGCTTCTCACCTCAGGGAGGTCCCCACCTCCTCATGGCTGCCTCTTGGCTCTGGGACTGCCCCTTCTCATGACTCAGGTCTCTTGGCCCTGCTTTATAGGGGGTCATGAGGAGTTAATGAGTTCCTTCCTTTCTTCCCTCCTTTTCTTTCTTCATTCAACAAATAATTAAGAGACAGCTACTAAGTGCCAGTCAGTAGTCTAGCTGCTGGAGAAATAGCAGTGACAAGACATATCTCTGCAGGGCACCCATTCTGATGGTCGGGGGAGACCATATCCTCTGGGAGACAGACAACAAATTCTGGGAAGAAAATAATATAAGGAAATGTGTATGAATAAGTCATGAGCTATTTTTCTTAAGGTGGGTAGGGAAAACCTCTGAGAGCTGGACCAGAATGGACAGATAGGCAAAGTTAAAGGGAAAGTAGCCTAGAAAACAAGTACAGTATGTACAAAGGTCCTGAGGCAGGAATGACTTGGCCTATTCAAGAACAAAAGGCTTTTCCCTCAAAATGGTATTTATAATTCTAGGAGATCATGCTTAAGGTGTGAACTCTGGTAGGACAGGTAAAGGCAGGGAAAGCAAAGACTGACCAGACATGTTGCTCTAGATGGCAGGAGATAGCCTCACAGCCACTTACTGCAGGTCCAGCTTGCAGCTCCTGGAGGGTTGGCCCTCAGACTTGTGCAAGTTATAACACCAGAAGTGAGCAAAAGTGTAACAGGAATAATGCCACATGTCTAGATGCTTTTCACACAGGAACCAGTTCAATCTTTACGGCCCCGAGAGGTTACTGTCATCACCACCGGTTCATGTCACCGAGGGAAAACAAAGGCAAACAGCTGTGACTGCTGAAGGACCCTCCCACCCCCCACCCGGCTGTGAAGCCCGTGCCCCTGGCCATCAGAATGGGTGCCCTGCAGAGGAACAGAAGGCCTTGGCTCAGAGCCTCTAGGACTGGTGGGGACAGCAGGCACGTGTGGCAGCACGTGAGAGCCCAGGCTCACAACAGCAAGATGCTCTCAGTCTCCAAAACCAGCCGGGCTTTTATGTGGACTCTCCCAGTTTCAAACGTAGACCTGACTGTTATGTTCACTCTCCAGCAGTCACTTAAAACCAGCATCCTTTCAGACCCCAAGGAGGGGTGAGCTGCAAAATCTGCAGGACCAAACACAAATGCAGGGTCACTTGTTCCAAAATCAAAAGTTTCCACCTTAACACTGAACCAAGTGCAGGACGCTCCCCTAGGCGGGCACCTGTAGGAGGCGGGCGCAGCCTCTCACGCGGGCACTCCTCAGTGCTTGTTGAATCAAATGGGAGGAAGAGTAATGGGAGGAAGGTGAATATGCACTTGGCACTCGCTGGCATCAGACATAGCTTCGGAAACCGGCTAACACTGTCAGAGCACCCACCAAGGGCAGGCACTATAGGCCTGGATGCCCTTGCGCCTGTGCTGTTAGGATCCTGGCATTCCAGAGGCTGGAGGAGCCCTTACAGAGCGACACTGTTCTGATGCGGGAACTTGAGGCTCAGTTTCCCTTTGGAGCATCCAGCAAGGTGACAGGAGACATGGCCTTTGCAGCCAGGAAACTCGGGCTTTGGGAAGTGTGGTCTTTAGGTATCTGCTGATAGTGGAGAAAACTGGCCTGGGTCGCAAGGGAGAGAAGGAGGGGACCAGAGAGAGCGCAAGGCGAGAAGGATTCTCCTTGGGCTTTTTCCCCAGCGGGCTGTGCTCAGGTGTCTCCAGGAGCCTGTGGGATTTGGGGAGGCCACCACACCCTGCGGAAGGGCCTGTGGCATTTCTGAATCACGGCGCCATCCGCCCCAGCATGGCTCCTCTCTGGGAATCCAATTACTAAATGTAGCCAAATTCTTTAAAAATGTCTTTCCTCTTATGTAATGCAGTAGTGACAAACGCCAACCAGATGGTGCCATGACAAGCTTTATGAAAGTTGATTAGGAGCTCATCTTTCAGAATTAACGTATGGGCATTTAAACGAGCTTTAGCCAGCCCCAAATCCAACCAAGAATCCAGATGGGCCGAAGCGCTGGAGGGACTGGCCGGCTCACTGCCTCCCCTGCCAGGCTTTGCCGGGAAGGTTCGGGACAGGTTACTGGCACAGGTCAGGCTGACTGGCGAGCAATGGTCAGAAGACACCCGGATTGGACCCAATAAAGAACCCTGGGGCCACTCCCAAAGACCCAAGAAGTGCAGCCTCCTCAATCCCCAGAGCAAGACATTGCTATTAATTCTTTACACTGTCTTTAAGAGAGTGGAGTGTCCCTGCCTGCATCCCGGGAGGCAGGTTAGTCACAAATTGTGTCAGCTGCCACCAGTGAGCTGCTTCACCCCCCAGTCTTCCTTCCTCGGTGTTCAGGGATGAGATCATTTCATTTGGAGCCAATTATAGATGGAGAATGCCGGGGATGTGCAAAGAATCCTCCTCAGAGCCGGTCCCTCCCGCTGTCACAGGCTGTACCCTGCGGAATGGGCAGGAACAGGGGGCTGGATGTCCAGTCCTAGGTTCATCCCCAGGGCAGCAGAAGGGCCATGCATTCCCAAGCCCCAGCTCAGACTTGTCGTGCTCGGGTGCTCGGCCACTAGCCGGATGCAGTCTATTGGCCTCAGAAGCTCAGAGCCGAATGAGTCCTTGGAGATCAGCCCTATTCAGAAAGGGAAACTGAGGCTTAGAGGAAGGGGCCTACTCAAGACCATGCAGCAAACCAGGCACTCGGGCACATGCCTATAATCGCAGCACTCCACCCTGGGCCACTGAGCAAGACTGTGTTTCAAGATGAAAACCAAACAGGGGGGCCAGCAATGGAGCACAATGCAAATACCCTGGCTTTAGCCCTTGGTACTACTTTTTTAAAAATCACACAGCAGCTAGGCATGGTGGTGCCCACCTGCAATCCTAGCACTTGAGAAGCTGAGGTAGCAGGATCGCCACAAGTTCAAGGCCAGCCTTGAATAACAAGACCCTGTCTCAAAAGAGAAAAAAAATCACACAGCAGGTTGACAGCAAAGCTGGTGGCCGTTTGACCTCCCATGAGGAAGATAACTGTCATCTGGAACCTGCCCCGTCACCATCCCTGCTGCTTCTGGTGTCAGCACCCCGACTTTTCCATGGGGAATCATCCCTTCCCCACGCTGGCTGCACAGGGTTGAGTAGGACAGAGCCCTCCGCCTGGCCCTAGGACACACACCTGAGCCTGCCTCGCGCCAGCCTCTGCTGGTTCAGGCATATGAATAAGGGGCACAAGACTGACAGGTCGATAAACAGAAACCCCCCGACGGTCGCTGAGGCCATGGCCACCAGAAGATATCCTCTTCCCACGAGCAGTGCTGAGCTAGGGAAGAAAGCCCAGAGCTGCTGGCAGTGTCCAGACCGCCACAGGTGCCTGCTTAAGAATGAAGCCAACACAGAGGGGAGCACAGCCCGAAGACAGTGACACCATGGCTCTCTAGTTCCTGTCCCTGGATCCAGCTATTCCCGAAGGCTGTCCTGTCCTGGAGATTTTAACTATATAAATCAATAAATTCCCCTTTTTATTAAAGTAGGTTGCATTTTGTCACTCATATCCCAAAAAAGCCTTGATTAACCTAAGGATGTGGGGTGCTCAGGTGTGGGGCGAGGCTCTAAAACACCCCAGTGCCAACCCTAACACACCTGTCATCTTTCCTTATTCAGGTTTTTTTCCCCGTCTTTTTGAGACAGGATCTCCATATGCAGTTCATGCTGGCCTTGGGCTCACTTTGTAGCTCAGGCTGATCTCGAACTTGCAACGATCCTCCCGCCTCAGCCTCCTGAGTGCTGAGATGACAGGATGGGCCATCACACCTGATTTATTTTTCAGTTACTAGACAGGTGTGGACACCTCCCCCTCCCCAGCAGATCCCCTGGTTCCTGTCCCATGCTCTAGTGACACACCCCAGGGACACCTAAGGTAAATGTGAATTTTCATGGTGCCCAAGAACTGGCCCACACCTGAGTCACTCCCATCACAGTCTTTGCCTTCTATGTGGTTCACAGCACAAGCTCCAGAGTCCACTTCAAATTCCCGCTCCACATTCCCAAACACGGACCTCGGGCCAATCGCCTGCCTTTCCCGAGCCTGGGGAAAGAAATTACCTACCTCACAATGTCCTGGGGAGGATTAAAACAGAAGCGTGTGGCTGGGAGTGTAGCTCAGTGGTACATTCAGGGCATGTGCCAGGCCCTGAATCCCCAGCGCTGCAAAGAGCAAAAGAAATAAAGAGTAAGGCAGAGACTCTAGGGACTGCAAAATAGTGGCTACAAGAGATTCCAAAAAGTATCTGCTACAGAGCCTGGGAAACTGGCACTTAGGGTCCACTTTGTAAACACACACACACACATCACACAGTGTGGGGTTGCTGGAATTCGGGGCTGCCGTGCTGAAGAACACATCCTGGAATCCAACCGCCCCTTGCTGGCCTCCTGGATGCTCTGCTCCTCTGTCCCTCCCTGACCCAGCCCCTCACCCCCAGTGGGCACACACAAGTACTGCTGAAATGCTGACCCAGTGGCTCACACTCTTGGGAGCACGCCGAGCCCTGATTCAGGATGGAGGACTGAGCAGCAGCAACCTTTGGGCCATTTCTGCCCGGCTCCAAGGACAGAGGGATGTCCTCCCTGCCCAGGGACTGCGCCTCAGTCTCCCCGGAGTCCTGGCCTCCTTACAGTGGTGCTCCTGCAGTGCAGCTTCTCTGGGAGGGGCCTCGAAGGGGCCCGGTGGACACACTAAATACGGACCTCAGATAGACCTGTCACACAGCGGTGGCCTCGAAGACATTATGTGAAGGGAAAGGAGCCAGCCGCAGAAGACCATGTACATACTGAGTGACCCTGCTTACAGGAAATGGCTGGAATACGGAAATCCACAAAAACAGAAAGACAGCTCACTGCTGAGGGCTGGAGGGACTGCTGATGGGGACCAGGCTTCTTTATGGGGGACAAAAATGTTCTAAGATTAGGCTCGGCAACAGCTGTGCAGTTAATTGAACACACTAGGCAGGACTGATCGGTGTACTTTCAATGGGTGAATGGTGTATGTGAACCTACAAAATAAAACTACTGAAAAATACAGTTAAGCCAGGCATGGTCATACACACCTGCA